TATAATGCCAGGTCACTAATAAAAATGCTAAAATCAGATATCCAACTAATAATACTAATATGGTATGATATCAGGCCAGGGATATCTTAGTGAATTGAAATTATGTAATTTTCTGTTTCCAGATGCTCATTTTGTATGATTTAGAGAATTATCCATACAATTGCAAAATTACATTGTTTTGCTCCGCAGCTACCTCACCAATGAATATTGTAGGATGGTCATGTCAGATAGATGCGTCCTCATGACACCTTTTTTATGTTCCAGTTTTGCATTGTCGGTTATCCAATTTCCAATGGCCTGATGTCCTGTCCGTTCTACATTGCAGTTTTGCATCCACGGTTCTCCAACTTATATAGGTTCAGCAGGATGAAGCCATGATACAAACTACATGTGCCGCCGCGAGGCTCTAGGTAAATGGTTTTATGTTTGTCAGTTTGGGGGTGTACTTATCACCTCTTGTGTTTTTCCTGCCTAGACATATAAATCTTGCACTATCATGGTTAGAACTCTACATCCATTGATCCTGTGAAGGCCAGCTAACTATTTTGTGTGTTGTTGCAAATATTTTTTGTTTTCATAGACTGATTCCTACTTTTCGTTGACTCCAGACATTTTATATAACTGTGTGTATATTGCTAGGATTTTGGAAAAGCTTGAGCTACCTAACTAATTCTTGAATGGAAAACTATTTCAAATATATACTAATTTATTTATCTCTTTCTGTGTAATTCTAAGACAGTGAAACATAATGATAGTAATCTAGATATGTTTGGATCATAGTACGAATGGATGGCCATGGCCTGCTCCTAATCCTAAATTAGTCTTGGAAGTTTTTGTCTATTTTTTCCAAATGGCAAAATATTCTGTTTATGCAGCTGTCAGCTCATCACCATTTCAGTTCAACAATCCATCAGAACACAAATGGACGGATTTTGGTTCAACAATTCATCAGAACACAAATGGATGGCCATGACTTGCTCTCAATCATGAATTGATATTCTGCTTTAGTGCAGCTAGTTAACACCAAGAGTGGGAAAAAACGTTGTGATCTTGATAGTTTTTTTGCCCTGTTTCTGCTTTTTTTTTTTCTAATGGGCAAAACTCTGTTTTCTGCAGCTGTCAACATGGTCGCCATTTAGGTTCAGCAATCCATTCCTTATACTGCACTGTTACACAGTCTTGTTCATATGTCTACTCTACTGTACAGAGCTCCATCTACACAGCTTTTCCCGAGTGTAAACGAAATGTCGAGCTGTATATTCTACAGTGTAAAAGAAATGTAAAGAAGTTGGCTATCATAGCATCTTTGTCCCACTTAGCCAATATTTCTTACACTAAACAGGTTTGAAGTGCAGATGTTTGACTATGTTTCCCTCTCCGCTATAATCCAATCGTGTTGTGTTTGTGGTTTCTGTTATTGTCACACATGAAAAGGGCTATATATCTTAGAAGGGACTTTTGGCTGCTCTAAAGGGAGCTTACCCTTCACTTATCTTGGCTTGCCTCTTGGCATAACAAGACCAAGAACCCAGGATTTCCTACCTCTAGTAAACAAGTGTGAAAGGAGATTGGCAGGGATCTCCTCCTTTCTGAATCAAGCAGGAAGACTGCAGTTGACTAATGTTGTGTTCACCTCCCTGCCAACCTTCTTCATGTGCTCTCTGGCTCTGCCCAACGCTGTGATCAAACAAATAGACAAGTATAGAAACATTGCTTATAGAGGGGGTCAGACATAAATGCAAGAAAACCCCCAAAGGTAGCTTGGAAGATGGTCTGTGTGATAAAAGAGGAAGGAGGACTGGGAGTAATTGACATTGAAAAACAAAACAAGGCTCTCCTCATCAAGAATCTTCATAAATTCTTCAACAGACTTGATTTGCCTTGGGTACACCTGATCTGGGAAAAACATTACAGAAATGGACGACTTCCAACCACATAAGAAAAGGATCTTTTTGGTGGAGAGACATTCTGAAACTCCTACCTGATTTCAAAGCCATAGCTTGGCCACACGTAGAAAATGGAGAAACCTCACTGTTTTGGCATGACAGTTGGAACAACCACCCTCTGGCTCTTTCAGCTCCTGAACTTTTTTTCTTTGCAAAGAACAAGCTGATTTCAGGGCCTTCAACCAAACTGAGTTTGTAGATCTCTTTCATTTGCCTTTATCCCAACCTGCATTTGTCCAAATGCAAAACATCCAGCAGCTTCTAGAATCCTTGCCCCTTACTGAGGAAGAAGACAAATGGGTGTATTCTTGGGGCTCCAACATCTTTGCCTCGACCAAAGTTTACAAAATCTTGATTGGGCATTAAGAGATCCACCCTATCTTCAAATGGCTTTGGAAAAGTCAGTTCCAATCTAAGCACAAGGCTTTCTTTTGGCTGTTGATCAAGGACAGGCACAGTACCAGAAATATTTTGAGAAGGAGGAACATGCATTTGGATTCTCATAATTGTGTCCTATGCAACCTTCTGATTGAGGAAACAGTGCATCACCTCTTCATTGATTGTCCATTTGCAAGAATGTGCTAGGATATGCTAAACATTGACATCCCACCTAATTGTAGCTTCCCATAACTGACCTCCCAGATGAAGACACAGCTAAGCACCCTTTTTTCATGGAAGCCATTATTCTAAGGCCCTGTTTGGTTGGGCTTTTGGCTATGGCTTTTGCCCCCAAAAGCCAAAAGGTCAACCAAAGGGCTCAAAAGCACCAGCTGTTTTGGGTCAAAAGTTGCTTTTGCTCTAGTACAAAAATAAAAGCAGCCCCCTGCTTTCAGCTGCTTTTGGGTCCAAAAATTACCCACCTGCCACTGGTTATTGGTTATGAAACATACCCCTTCGTTCTTTTGTTTCTTCGAGTGACATTTTTTCTCCCGAGCGCCGTCTTTCTCGCATCCGACCCGACGGACCACGCGGGCGTGGCTCCAGCGACGGCCCCGCAGCGTTGCCCCGGTGACCTGCACGGCGGCGCCCCAACCCCCGGCGGCTAGCTCAGTGGGAGTTGCGCCCCAGGCCAGTGACCCCCTCCGCTTCCTCTTCCTCTCGAGCAGGCGACGGAGGAGCAGCCACTGACAGCCATGGATGCGCGAGCGCGGTGCCCCGAACCTCCGCTCGTATGCCCCAGCGGCGGTCTAGCTTCTGGCCTGGCGCTGGCGCAGCCTGATGTGGCGAAGTCCAGCCTGGCGCTGGCCATCCGGCGGCATTTGGCCTTGTGATCCGGCCCCAGGCGTGGGCTCATGGCCTGCCTCCGCGGGCGTGGCCATGTCTCACGAACGAAGGATCTCCGCCTGGCTCTGCCTCCCTCCGACGTAGAGTGAGTGGCGGCGCTGCCCAGATCAGGCGAGCCTGCCTTCCTCCGTACGGCGCCTCCTCCCTCCCTCTCTATAGCAGCTCCCTCCCTCTCTTCCTTGGGCCGGCGGCGCTGCCTCCCTCCTAGCTGCCGGACGCGGCCAGCTCCGGCGAGCTCGAGCATTCCCTGGTGGCGAGAGGAAGAAGAAGGTCCAATGTGTGCATGACATGTGGGGCCCGCTTGTAAGTGAGACCAGCTTTTCCAAAAGCCACAGCCCACATTCCATAGCAGCTTTTCCAAAAGCCACAGCTCAACCAAATGGGGCCTAATGTGCTGGACTATTTGGACAGCAAGGAATGATCTTATCTTCAAGGGCATCACAATGAACCTGACAGACTGCTGAAAGGTCTTCTTCAAAGAGCTAAGACTCCTTTAGTTCAGAATCAAGACAAGACAAGAAGATCAATTCTCACCATCGATACAAAATCTGGAGTTAGTAGTTGCCTAAAGTTGATCTTCTTTGTTTCATAGGCTTCTTGCCTATGTATCCTTGTTGCCTTTGTAATTGCTTTTTGCTATCTTTTATATTTTTAATAAAAATTACTGTAGGGGCTTAGGCCCCTCCAGATTCTTAAAAAAAGGGCCAGGGAATATATTTGCTATATATTTTTATTTTTAGCCTTTTTTGAAAAATATTCACATTTAGACTTTCATTTTATGGAGACCCTGAGCTCAGCATCCATAAAATGAAATGAAACCTTCAGGGATCTAAATATGAATATTTTTTTGAAAAAAGAGCTAAAAATAAAAAATTTGAGGACACAGTTAACCTGAATTCGGATCGGTTTTTTCTATCCGCAACTGCAAGGTTCGGTGTTCAGCTCGGTGGTCGGTTTTACCCCCCAAAGTCGAACCGAAAACCGTTCAAACCGAAGCAACAACGAGCTGGACGCAAAAAAAAAAAAGCCCACTAAGGGCCTATAAAAAACAGCCCACTAAGGGCCCAACCGAACCCATCCTTCCCTCGTCTCCCAGGCCCAGGCGCCATCCCCCGCACGCCGCAGTCCATCCCTGATCGACTCTGCATTTCTGGAAACCGAACCGAACTTCTGGGTTAAAAAACCGATTGGATTGCCCAGTGCTTTGGGCGTCCAGCCTCTCCGTCGCCGTCTTCCTCTCCTCTGCCTGCCTCCAAGCTTCTCGTCTCCCCGTCTCCCAATCCACCGCCCGCCCCACCGGTAACCTGTGCTGCCACTCCATCCCTCCCTCCCTCTGCTCCCGCACGGCTAGATTCCTCCTGCTGCTAGAGATTGACTAGCACTAGGAGCTGGTGGAGCTCTTCTACCAAACAGGCCCTAAGTCGGATCAGACCGCTGGATCCTTTTTGGGTTCTCCTCTCGATTCCGATTCCGATTCCAACCATCGGCTGTGCGCCTGTGCCTGGGCGGGCCAGAGAGGGGAACGGGAGCCGCCACCCGCGTTCTGCCATATCTCCCGCCGGAGCCGAAGCGGAATCTACGGTAGATAGGTAGAATATATATATAGCAAGAGGAGAAGATCAGGAGAGCCCAAATCACACACAAACAACCCTAGCATAGCCAGCCTTTATTCGGCGATTCGATTCGTTTCGATTTTTCTCTCTCTAACATTAATCGCCAGGTCAGGAAGGAAGACGAACAAGATCCAATCCATCGGTGTTGTTGGTGGGCATGGCAATGGCAGGAGCAGCGTTCCTTCGATCTGTCGCTGCCAAGACGGCCCGCGCAACGCCTCGCCCTCCATCTGCACTGGAGGAGCGCCTTCAACACCATGGCCTCCTTCCAACGAGCTCCAATCGCATTTGGCTTTCTAGATTCTCTACATCTACTGGTTCCACGCCGCCAACCAACCTCAGGGTATGCCGCTCCTCTTTGATTTGGTAGCCTTTTAATTTGGTCGACATGTAGGATAGTAGAAGATCACGCATCTTTCTTTCTTTCATTCATACATTTTTTTTATTAGATTAGATACAAAAGTAGTGTAAAAAACATTTCTTTTTTCTATACAATCTTCTGAAATAAAGATGGTAAGTCTCAGGCACAACTTTTTGCGTATTCAACTTACGTGACCCTTTTTGGATACCATGGTCTAAAGTTTAGTTGGCTACTAAACTTACTTAGACCCTTTAGCACATTTGTATGGTCTAATGAACCTTTTTTTTTTTGTGAGGTTGTCTAAACTTTAAACAGCACTTTAGAAAACCTCTTTGGAGCTTCAAGAGCTAATGTTTAGTGTGCCATGGGATCCAAACAGGGCCTTAATTTTATCTACACATTATTAATTGATGTTTTTTTATTATATCAGTTTAAGCATTGATTATATTGTCATTTGACATGCAACCATCTTCCCGTCAGCATATACAAGGATACCAAATTAGATTGTTATAAGGTTATATAAAGCCCGGTCATTTAGGGCTTAGCTGCTGATCAGGGCTGTTTCCTCTACCATGAAGCTTATCCCCATTGTCTCACTCTCACCCATCTGGCCTCCTGTTGTCATATCTGTCTAGTGTGTATAGAACCTAAATTACTATTGAATTTTCATTGTTGACATATTTGTTATCACATTCATGATCCTAGGTGTGACACTACAGGATCACACTTGATACTTTATCTGTGATTATCATTATTCTTATGACCCTACGTGAAATTAATATGCATGGCTGTGTGTCATGCCAGCTCTGCGCGACCATGTGAACCTAGATACATATCACGATCTTGATAACCTTCATGTTACCGGTATTGATGATGCTGTTGGTTCTATTATGTTTCTTTAGGGTCCTCAAACTCATAACAAGGAAGTTCCCAGTGGCAGTGAGTGGGACTGGTATGACTCCCCCGTCCAATTTTGATATATATATATCTATAAAGAATAACTGATAAGTGTTCCTTGTAGAACGGATTGTCACTTTCATTTGTCACTTTCAGGGCAAAAGCCGCATTCAAAGAAGCTGCACCCAACGCAGCTTTCCTCCTGGTGCTCAGTGGCTTCTCTTTTATGTATTTATGGCTCAATCCGGAACAGGACCGTATACAGGCCAATCTGGACGCCATCTCGATAAAAAGGTCGGCCAGGATAGTAGAGATGCAGCAAAAAAATGAAAGGCTACGTGCGGCCTTGCTTGATTGTAAGCGAAGTCAGATTGAACCTAGAGATTAGTGGGCGGGTCTTCTCAAGGCCAAAGGCCTGATACAAACATCAGCTATTAGTTTGATATATACTCTCCATCCAATTTTCTATGATGCCCATACGTATTGAGTTCCAAACTTTATCTATGTTTTGATTAGTGATTAATCAAACAGTGCACATTTTTTGACACAAAAGTTTCGTATCTGAAATGACTTCCCTAGGACCATCATTCTGTAAGGAATAAATATAAAATAAGGTAAATCAGCCTTTGAAATTTGGTGGCACTTACATTTTGAAATGGATGCAGCAATAATCCGAGGGAAACTTCTGCTGGATATTAGATGACCTACTATTGTTCAAATGGATATTAGATGACCTACTGTTGTACACGCTGCCATTTTAGAAAGTGCGTGGCGTCTATATCATATTTAGTCTTGTCGTGTAAGATGTTAAATTGATCAATTGTGTGGTTCTGGTTCTTAAGTTTACTTGGTTAGAATCACAATTGGTTTCATTTTAGGTATTGTGCATCAGGTACATATGTTGTGTTTCACTTTTCAGCAGTGCAGATTGCTAACTTTTTGTTAAAGCGTGAACGTAAATGAACAAGATTTGAAAGAACTCTTTCTTTCATTGATCTCTGAAATATATTTATATAAGTGAATGTGTGTCACGAAGGGATACGACTGTTTCCAAAGGACATGCCCTTTGGAGTAAAACTAACTGTCTAATTCTATCTACTAATCTTGTAATTGATGGATGAGATCACTTCGTGAACAGGTGTCTGTTCATGGCGTCGTTGATGAGATCACCGAAGGGGTGTCTGTTGAGAGACACCGTTTCGTAACACTCCTCCTTGATCGAATCTTCCTTGAGATCAATGCAGGTGTAAGCTGAAATTTCTCGAAAAACCCTATGGAAAAAATCTGAGGAATATATGATATGCCATAAAAACTCCTTTAAACCTTATTGGAAAATAAGGAGAAAATAGCATATTTATTTGTGATTTAAGTAAATCACTATGTCATTGGTATCCCATTAAAAACCCCAATGGAGAAAAAATATTGGAGATACGACATAAAGATAACTCATCCAAAAACATTTTCAGGAAAAATATGAGGAGCAATATAAAATTGTATGTCGCTAAAACTCCTGTAAAAACCCAGTGGAAAAATTAGGAGAAAATATGACGACATATTATTGGTATTGCCTCTTGGACAACTCACATGAAAAACCTTCTCAGGGAAAAACCATGGATGAGTTGTGAGGACAATATGTGTCTTTGATATTTCCCACAAAAACCCCGGTGGGGAAAATAGGAAATATGACACATGCATATGTTAATATTACCTCATTAAAAACTTTGACAAGAAACCTTGTAAGTAAAACTTGTGAAAGAAAATAGTATAATATGATGCTGGTACAAGTCAACATTTAGGAGATGTCTCCCCCTAATTCTGGCAAATCTCGAAGTCGCCGCATACCAATTCCATGTATCAATTTTTTGAAACATAGAAGTTGGTAAGGACTTAGTAAATAGGTCAGCGAGATTATCACATGACTTGATTTGCAAGATGTTTATTTCCCTGCTTTCTTGTAACTTATAGGGATAAAACAGCTTAGGGGCAATGTCTTTAGCGACATTACTCTTTATGTAACCTGTTTGCATCTATGTAACATAAGCGAAATTATCTTCATAGATAATTGTAGGTGATTTAATCGAACCAATACCACATGCCTATTGTATGTGGTTAATCATTCTGCGAAGTCATACATATTCATGTGATGCCTCGTATAGAGCAATAATTTCAGAATGATTAGTAGATGTCGTCGTCAGAGTCTGTTTAGAAGACTTCATGAAATAGCTGTACCTCCATGTAAGAATACAAATCCAGTTTGGGATGGGGACCAGATAAGTAACCAGCATCCGTGTATCCAATCATATTGGGATCATGATTTCTCTTAAAAAGTAAACCAAGATATTTTGTGCCACTAAGATATCTGAGGATATGCTTCGCTCCCGTCTAATGACGGTGAGTTGGATTGGCACTATGTCTAACTAGTATGTTCACTGCAAATGCGATATCAGGCCTGGTGCAATTTGCAACATACATAAGTGCTCCAATGACACTAAGATATGGAACCTCGGTCCCAATATCTTTTCTCCAAAATCTCGTGGTCTAAATGGATCTTTCTTTATTTCTAAAGAACGAACAACCATCGGGGTTTTCTTATGATATGATTTGCCTATATTGAATTTCTTCAATATTTTCTAGATATAGGCTGATTGATGCACTAAAATCCCTGAAGGACGGTGCTCAAGTTGTAAGCCTAGGCAACATTTGGTCTTACCCAAATCCTCCATCTCGAATCCACATGATGGAAATTGTATCTCAAATGATTGCATAATTATTTCTATATCATGATGATATCAAAATAACCAATATACGCAATCATGCTTAATTATACACAATGTATGTTGCGATTTGTATTTGGATTCAGGATATGAAGTCCATTGGGACTTATACGTCCGAATCTATCAAATTCATTTGATCCGCCAATTATTGAATTTAGAAAACTTCATTTTCACACATACCATGGGGTATGCTATGCTGGGTCTCTGCGTGAAACCATATGCTACAAGCTCTCATTGTTCGTCACCTTGCTTCTGAAAAGAAACTCTGTGAGGAAAGATATTAATGTGGTAATACTTCTCATCATTGAACAAGACCAATCTCCTTAATTGCCACATTTTAGTTTGACCAAATTTGAGTGTGAAGACACTCTGCTTAGGATTTTTGGTCTGGATCTAGTAAGGTAAAAAGGCAATCTTTGAGGAGTATATGCCGCGACAATTTGTAGTCTTTAAATGATTGATTTAGTTCTTGAAATCAATATAGCATGTGAAAATGTTAACCCTTTTGGACTCCGAGTCATTTCCCATATGGAGTCAGGGTGTTCCAATGCCCTAGGATCAGAATTTGGGTGCACCGTTGATCCGGGTGGATTTTGATGCTCATCCATTTTGGGTGTCTACCAACTTGAGGTTGGCTTGGATTTACTGATTTGGAGGATATTGTCCTCGATATCCTCGGACACTTACTTGGAGCATTATCCTTAAGAGCAGCCGTACTTCTCCTCCTCTTCTTTGGAAGTGGGAGTTGAATGGTTTTAATTGGTACCTCCATTCTTTCAGGCGCATTATAAGTAGGATAATAGGATTTTGTGACACCCTTATTATCAGTAAATATTTCTGGCAGATTCTTTGCAATATGATGCAAATATAAGATATTCTAAACGATTAGGTTTAGAATTTTTGGTACGTGGATGTGAGGATTGCTCTTTTGATTCCTGGCATTCTTAATGTGGTATAAATCTCCCCCTAATGCTTGGAATTATCCTCAAATATGATCAACATACGGGCAATTTATAAATCCCTTACAGAGTTAGTTCTTGGGATCCCTAATGTCCATTGGTATGTTGGGGTGGTGATATGGGTATGTGAAAACATACTCGATACGCAGATGGGAAATATTTTGCTGCGGCCAAAGTTTCACGTACATACTGCAACGGAGGGAGTTGTATAAGTGCAGCTTGATGAATTTGAATTAACGATGCGGTGTGTAAGGCCGCATGAAAACGATTTAGTTCTGGTAAATTACAATTCTATTTTAATATGTCATGCAATTTGATTCTCAATAAGAGATTCAATAAAACCATTATTGGTATGGACATAAGGTACTTGATATATAGTCCCCAAAAATCAAACTGTTCCATGTAAAATGGATTTGATCCCGCATAATTTGCTCTAAATTAAAGATTTTGAGCAATGAGTTTGGTATAGTGATGGTTCTCATGACTAAGAGACACACCTGGGACTATATTATGAATGCATAAATGTGCATTATATAATATTTTTATGGTCCATAAAATGATAAATAGAGTCACATGTATGTTCTTGAATTTCTTCAAGAAATGTAGTGGCTCATATTGATGCTATGACCAATAGAATTGGCAATAATTCTCAAGTTATCTCTATAGTTCAATAACTAAGGCAAATGTGCCAAGTCTTATTGACATCAAGAGAGAAAATTATTTGTACGCAACATTGGATACAGGTTATGTATATGTAGTCAAATCCAACTGAGGATGTTTTGTTTAAGTATTGCCATATCCGTTGTTAAGAGAAAAATACTCCTCTTAGTTGTCATCTTGGGGTTTTCATATGAAAACCACATTGACGGATATCTCTATAATTTTAATTGGGTACATTATGGAATCAGAATGCAAGAATGGATTCATGATTATTATTTGAGTACCAATAGGGAGTATGATAGTAGCACAACTAAAGCCCACTATCACGACATCGCGTCAAGCGATTAACAAAATATTTTCTTGTCTCTATGTAAGAGTTTAGGAATATTTTGCTTCCCTATATATAGAGTTTGTGGTGCAACTATCCACTAGGTAAAATTTCTCTTTGCATTTGGATTGACTCCCGTATAGGTCTATATATAGCATGAAGAATATAATGACATTCTTTGCAGATATATAGATTTCATACAAGTTAATTAATGAAATATCAAATGTGATGGCGCATTATTGTGATATTCAATTGAAATTGATGACAACATTTTATATTACAACACCAAAATAGGACGTAGAAACTAGGTATGTTTGTAAATGGGAGACAAATTTTGGTCCCCAAAATGGATCAAGCGAAGTAAATTCGATGATCGTGCTCTCCATGCTCATAAGACCCACTTATTAATTAAGTGTTTGGTTGCTACTTGGTTTCTTCATAAAACTTGTTGTGAACAACTAGCCTTCCTGGTGGTGTCTGGTTGAAGATAGAAGCGTGCTTCATATCTTTATTGTTGAGCCAGATATTTATGTCCAATGGATTTGTAATACCGATCAATTAAATATTTGAAGGCATGATATTTCTAAGTTGTGTGGCTGTAACATACACAATTGGGACAAAATATGGTTCTGTCATATTTGGGAAATGCCTTGACCCTAAAAAAATGCATGGGGCTGCTACTTCTTTTTGCGTTAAATCTTACCATTAAAGTTCTATGGATGACATTACTACATGGCATCGAACTTGTAATGATTCTGGAAATTCAATGTACTTCAGATGATAGAGCATCACTATAATGCTAATGATGATTCATCGATAAGAGTTTATCATACACTTAGACCTGAAGTAATGTAGGAATTAATCTAGAATACATTTGATAAGTTGTGTGCTTTCGCGAAAACGCAATGTTGGGGAATATTTTGGAACAACATAATTATATTCTCAAGTGGACTTAAGATCCTAGAGATAAAGTTGTGACCAATCATAGTTGGCATTGGGCAGAATGACTGCCTTGTGTTGTTCGTATCACTCATTGAAAGCTAGCCATATAGTGCTTCGATTTGCACCCATTGAGATACACATACGTGTGACCTGAATGTATATGGTGCTTTATTTAAATAAAACTCCGTATTTAAATTGATCATAAGTGGTGATGCTCTCTTATGAGGAGCATCAAATATTGCCATGAATCCATAGAACATCAAGTTTAACATTACGTCCATTGACCATGTTAGATAATGGTGACCATCAAGAGCAAGAGATCAAACTCTTTGCTGGCTATTATTCTAACAAGGTTTAAACCATAGATTTTCTGAATTTACGCTAAGGGTAAATTTAAAATTGCTATGGTGATGTTGTATTAATTAATGCAAAATAAATAGGAGACAAGATCTATCTCACTAATAGTGTAAACCTCATTTATGCTAACACATTAGAGGTAGTCATCATAAAGATGTAGACCTCTAATAATATGGACATAGTCTGTTGAACAGTAGATGCCAAGTTGTGTATGCAATTTATATAAACACATTTT